TAATATTAAACACATAATCACCGGAATATTCTTGACTTCATTCGCTATAATGACCAACTTTTTCGTGAAATATAATACTTTTAATTATTTTATTAACAGAGTTTATATTACTGATGTTTATTATTTACTAAATATTAGTAAATGATTACATTAATTATATCAGTTATTAATTATTATATCTGTATATTAAATATAATTGAAGCGTATTAATTGAAATCAATGATGAATTGTGTGAATATGATACCAAAAATAATATTAAATATCCTAATTATAATAAGTCGTGCATAGCATTAATGTTAATATTTATTTGGAGGCATATATCTATAACTATGTTTTTCATGTATTACCAAGATCTAAATACTAATTTAAACTTGGATCAAGATACTACTGATAAATATTATATCGAAAATAACTCATACTTTGGACTATGCTATACAATCGCTATTTTCTATTTCATAAATTACTGGCTTATTGTAGTATTGAGCATATATTACGAGTTGTACACCAAATACCTGCATATTGTGGACATACAAGCGTTGAAAATGCAATCCATTGTCGAACCCATACCTAACGAATATCTCTTCCAAATCCGACTATTTATGAAACAATTGACGCGAAATAAATTCAATTCATTCATTTGTAACTTCAAATATTTTCTGTGCGTTCATGTATTTACAATTATTATATCTGATATATTAACTATATAGTTATTATATTTAGACAAAAACCTACCAACTCTAATTATACTCCCTATAAATCTGGCATTATTTACTTTATTTGTAGTATACATTATAAATACAATATTTACTAAATCTAAAGCTATTATAAATATTTTGGAAATTATTACTCATTGGGAGAATTATATCACAAATAATCTAGAGAATGCCTAAATTTGTATAACTTTATTTGGTTAATTAAATACACAACTTATATATGTGCTATCTTATTAATATCTATAATCAAATTTACTTTATAAAGGTGAGTTAATCAAGTTTTTATCAAAAGTATTTTTTATAATTTTACCTTTATTAATCAAATATTATTTCTTAACTATTACATTGATTTTTAAATATAAATTATAGCTATTTTTATTTCAATAAGTATTCTATTAGCTATCATTTATCTGGATAATTTATCAATTTATTTAACATTAATTTTAGGCTCCCTTTTGAATGACATCCCCGATATTGGCCACGATATGAACTCAGATGAGCTCCGGTAGGCTTTAATGGGTGGAAGTGCTTCGAAGCGATCCAAATACTGCTTAATTGTGGGACACTTATCAACGACCGGTGGGACGTACGCTCTCATACCGTCCAGTATCTCGTAGGCCAAGAAGTCCACGTAAGACAACTGTCCGGTCAGCCACTGCTTATCCCCCAAGAACTTCACCAATAGAGTCAACTGTTGCATTAGAGTACCGGTGCAATAGTCTTTCCATTTGGCGTCATCGTCGCCAGTATCGATCAAAGCCGTGATATAACCCTTAAACATGTCATAGAGTTGTTGCTCAACCATCTCTTGCCGGGCGAGTGTGGGGTCATCCCTGGCCACCAGTCCGTGCTTTCGCGCCAAGTATCTCATTATCACCAGACTTTGGGACAGTTTTATGTCTCCATCCATATAATAGGGAAGTTTTGGGATATCCAGACCTAAGTTAGGCTTATCCGTGTACCAGGTCTCTTTGTTTGCCGGATCATAGCGCTTTTCATTGAAGTCGACTCCGGCATACTTTAGGAGATACCGTATGGACTGACCCCTACCCCTAACGCTCCAGTAGGCGACGGTAGGTTTAGTTGACATCGTTTTAAATTGAGTGTAACTTTAGTTAATGATTTAGTAAACAATTATTATAAGTGCTTAGTATTTATACTACAAACAAAATCCTTGATATTTTTACAGTCATTTATTTGTACGCAAAATTAAACCAAGATCCAATTGATTGCATACTCACCATGATACTGTAATAAAATAGAAAGTTCTAGAATCTAGAAAATAAAGTCTGGATACTAGGAAATGTTTAAACCTAAATACAGTATACCAAATAAAAATACATTTTAATTGAAATTATAATTTTGCTTACATTATAAATTTTTATATTTCAAATTTAATTAAACATAATATACTTATGTTAATTCAAGCGCATAATTTATAAATTATAATTATTCATAGGAAATACAATTTTAAGATTATTAAACGTTTTGTCTTGAGAATATTACATACATTTACATTTGATTATAGATTTTAAATTAAAAATTATTTGTTATTTGTTTTATTAACATAAAAAATATCTATCTTATGATAGCAATTCAAACAAAAATAAATTTTATTTTTAATTAGACCTTTCTAATGTTACATTCAAATTAAATGCTTGAATAATAAAATGTTGAAAAATATTTAAAAATAAACTTCTTGTGCGCTAAATATGGGCTATGAATATAAAAATCAATTTATTATTTGTCCGTATAATAAAAGTCTTTCTATAGTAGCAATTATAACTTGTAATTATAGGTATTATTGATTAACTGTTAGCATTCACAATATCGATGTTATAATTGAAACCCTGTTCACAAAAAATAGTGTCATATGTGGACTTGGAGCACATTTCGGGGACTTTTGTATAGCATAGAAAATATAGTCATGTAGTGAAAAGCTTTAAATTCCCAGCTTACGATTACACATTTTAAAAACTCACCTTACTCATTCATACGAATACATTAACTAATGCTCAATGTGTAATCGTAAGCTGTG